GCTGCAACGCAAACTAAGCGGACGACAAGTGGCGACTTAACCTGATATAAACAAAGAGATGGTGACAATAAGTGCCAAGATGGAAAGAATGAAACTAAACTCTGAATCATTTTCGGAAGAGGTAGACCCCGAGTCCCCAGATATTAGTCCTCTGACATTAACTGCAAAAAAGATGTACAGAACAGTGAAAGGAAGGGGAAGACCACGAAAGATACTACCAGTGAAACCTCACAACATCATCAAGGACATGGTACCCGGAGTGAGCCTAAACACGAGCGAACGCTATGTTCAAGAGGTGGAAGAAAAACTGGAAACACTTGATTACAAACAGGTTAAGGAACTGTGTCAACACGATCAGGTACCGTACATCAAGAAGCAGTAAGCGATTGTCGACCTTACAGGGCAGTGGACATCCAAAACCTTTTGTCATTGAAAGGCTACACCTTGACCATTTCTACCTCCAACAAAGTCCAACAACTCTGACACAAAATCCTCATCCTGAGAAGTATCCGAAGAAAGTGATAGCGATGGGTGCAAACACTGGACTATCCAACAATTGTGGGGACTTTGTCGTGGGTTAATCTGGGAGCGTAAGGAATACCTTGGACTTGATCATGAGTTGGTGGTGAATTTTAGATTGGTTGTTTCTGCTCTTACTACAAGTGGTTGTATACTATGGGGGAGGAAATTCATGCCTGACTGGACGACGTGGTTTCTTAATCGTGATGAGGGATTGGACGTTGGAGAAAGTTGTGTGTATGTCAGGATTTCAAGTTCCCCATACTGCAAAGTAGTTTATATCGGAAAAAAACAAGAAATATATCAATGTCCGATTGAGTGATCATGGTGGGAAATGTTGCCGGGAGGGTCCGAGAAATCACCTTCATCGATGACTATGAAGCTATGAATGGGATAATGTTTTACTCCCAATTGTTAGCGTGACAGCAAAAAAATTATCGGTAATTGAGGCCTACTATATTAAATTGGAGTTTAGTTCTTTATAGCACCGGGCGCCGATCTACGAATAACATGTTATTCGTTAAAACAGTACATTCTTGTGTGTACTATTTTGAAACGAATTTATGACACAATGTATAGTCTAGTGGTATTCCAGATCCGGATACATCCGAACCTGGAGTAAAATCAGCTTTGAGACGAGGAGCAGAGTCAGTACATATATCTGCTGCACTCCTCTTGTGGTTCGGATGTGTCCAGATGTGGAACACCACAGCAGAGTATATTACACTGTGTTATACGCCTCTGAGTCAGTACATGCATCAGTACATATATCTGCAGCGTTCCTCTCCTGGTTCGGATGTGTCCAGATGTGGAACACCACAACAAAGTAATATATTACGCTGTGTTTTAACTTCACTTGGAGTTGAGCATCATACTCATCCGAATCTGAACAGTATAATGACATGAACTCCAGTTTGTGAGGAGTACAACGAGTTGTGGCTCTTCACAGACTTAAGGTGAGAGAGATAGAAAGAGAGAGAGAGACAGAAAGAGCGAGAGAGAGAGAGACAGAAAGAGCGAGAGACAGAGTCTCAGAGAGACTATACTTAATTTTCTCGAGACGTCGCACAGGAGGCGCAGGGTCGAGCACATGCGTAGACCATCAGCCTCGCTTCTTAAAGCATTTTAGATGATCGTTGTAGGAGAGCAGCAAGGTAATGTGAATTTCCAAGACAAGCGAAGTTCGGATGTATCCGAGATCACAGGAGATAGATAGAGAGAGGAAGTCCGCAAGAAATGGTCGTGTACATTTGAAGAGCGAGAGATATAGAAAGAGAGAGAGAGACATAAAGAGCGAGAGACAGAGAGTCTCAAAAGAGACTATACTTCATTTTCTCAAGACGCCGCACAGAGGCGCATGGTCGAGCACACACGTAGATCATCAGCCTCGCTTTTAAAAGCATTTTAGATGATCGTTGTAGTCGAGCAGCTAGGCAATGTAAATTTCCAAGATAACCAAAGTTCCGATGTATCCACAGGAGATAGACAGAGAGATGAAGTCCGCAAGAAATGGCAAAATAGCATGCCAGAGGGTTGAGAGATGGAAAAGACAAGCATCGTATAATCATCCACAACATTTCGTGTTACGGACGTTTCCCAAGTGTCGAACCAGTATAGACCCTTCAGTTCAAACCTTCCCCTGTGTTTTTTGGGACACATTTCAAGAAGTATTTTTTCAGAGAGAGAGAGAGAGAGAGAAAGAGAGAGAGACAGAGAGAGAGAGAGAGAGAGAAAGAGAGAGAGAGAGAGAGAGAGAGAGAGAGAGAGAGAGAGAGAGAGAGAGAGAGAGAGAGAGAGAGAGGTGTCCTTCTTCCTCCTCTGGTCCTCCATCTCTCCTCACCCTCCAGCGCTCTGACATCTCGCTATCGACTACAGACTATCGTGCATAGTAGTAGAGAGAGAGAGAGCGAAAGATGTGTGAATCGCGCGTTCATGCGATTTGTATAATAATAATAATAATTGCGTTCCAAGCCTTGATTGANAGAGAGAGAGAGAGAGAGAGAGAGAGAGAGAGAGAGAGAGAGAGAGAGAGAGAGAGAGACAGAGACAGGGACAAATAGAGATAGAGAGAGTGTGGATAATCGCATTGAATTTCCTTTTTATGCCGACATGTCGTACAGGAGACGCATGTTCGAGGAATACGCGAAAACCACAAGTGTAGCTGTACAAGAGCTGCAAGGTTTTCGTTAGGCGAGAGTAAGCCAAGTTCGGATGCATCCGAGATGACTGGGGAGAGGGAGTCCGAAGCAAACAGCAAATGAGCGCACTAGACACAACTGTGGGTGTGTGCGCGCGCGCGCGTGCGAGCGAGCGAGCGAGCGAGAGAGAGAGAGAGAGAGAGAGAGAGAGAGAGAGAGAGAGAGAGAGAGAGAGAGAGACGAAGTTGAATCTTGAAGTTCTTTTTCGGAAATTGAGGACGAATCATACAATATTCATTTCTTCTTGAGTGCCATCTCAATTCAGTTTGTGTCACTTTGTAGCACCAATCGGCGAGGAGGGCCAGACTGGCCATCCGAAAGCACTCAGCGTGGAGGGCCAGACGGGCTATCAAATGTATAAAGAGGCATTTGTGTTGCATTTTCGGGCAATCTAAAAGCACCCAGCGCGGAGGGCCAGACGGGCCATCAAATGTATAAAAAGGCCCTTGTGTTGTATTTTCGGGCCATCAAAAAGCACCCAGCGCAGAGGGCCATACGGACCATCAAATGTATAAAGAGGCCCTTGTGTTGTATTTTCGGGCAATCAACAAACACCCAGCGCGAAGGGCCAGACGCGCCATGGAGTGTATAAAGAGGCCCTTGTGTTGTATTTTCTTCTCTTTGATGCCTCACGACCTTCAAAGTGACAATGCATAGATGAGTGTAGACGACGGGGAAGGTTCGAGAGAGAGGCAAAAAAGCATAGAGATAGTTGGAGTTCGGATGCATCCGAGTATGCGGGCAGAACATCACACCACACAAGACACAAAATGACAAAAGCGAGAAAGTCAATCACGAAACAGGCGCCCGAACAACGGGGATGTTCGTGAGAATTGAAAGCCCAATGAGAAAAAACAATATTGTAGACGACAAACACGCCGGGGATATGACAATTTCACCCGGAGATATCCTGGCAGTGACAGCCAGTTCTCCTCCGAACCAAACCGAGAACACCCACCAGTCTCTCACGGAAAAAATGAAAAGGAACAAATTTCGTCCGGAGAAGAACGAAATGTTTTTCTAAGTCAACCCTTCTACACTACATGATCAACAAAAAGATAGACGCTTACCTACCAACATCGCAAATCGCCAAAGCTAGTCTAGCTCTGATAGAGGAGATGTGTCTATGGGAGAAACCAAAAGGTGGACGTAAACCTCTCCCCAAACAGGAAGCGGACATCAACATGAACACCCCACAACTAGCCCCGTCGTGCTGTCGAGGGACACCTTTTACGCTGACCTCGCGAGCGAAGTGGTCGAAAGTGCGACTATCACCGGCGGCACCTGCCACCGTGTTCAAAAATTTAACAGATTTATCTAAAAGTGCGGAGTAGAAGTCATCTTTGGATGACGAACACGAGAAAGAATCATAGATTTCCAAAACACGTCTAGAGAAGTCAATGGCCAAAAGGCTCCTGTGTTCGCCATCCTTGTACACTGGTGCCAAGACGAGGTCATGAGACAGGAGGTCCACATCTTTAGCCCATCTGCAAAAAGCTGTCGGACCTCGCAGAAGTAGGGTAGAGGCGAAGAAAAAGTTGAAGGTGTATGTCTTCTTGGTAGCAGCAGTCCGACCGCAGTCGTCCAGTAGCATCGCCATGTAGAAATTGACAACCTCATCGTTGAGCTCCCCGGATCCATCCACGAGTGCGACGATGTCCTTGACGGAAACCTGTAAATTGTGCGACGGCAAACGCGCGACGATGATAGTGAGCGGCAACCAAGAGCAGATAACGTCTTCAAGGACTGCTCTTCCATCTCGAGGAAACCCTGTTCAACAAACACCCGCAGCACACAGCACGCACAAAGGATGGGGCACTATGAGAAAATGCCATCCTAGCGGCCATGGTCCGACGAACCGCTACTCTGTGGCCCGAAAAGTTCACGCATAACGTCACCCCTACTTCTGGACCTTCCACACACAGTTGATTCTAAACTAGCACTGTCGTTCCTTATATCCCTGCAAGCCTCGAGAAGGAATTCCTTGCAGTCTTTTTCGGCAACACCCACTGCCTCTGCAACGAGTCTAGCACGAGGGCCCAATACGGGCACGACAACCCTTCTGGGAGGGCCCCGAGGTTTAGTCTCCCAAGGAAACGAATCAGTGACATTGCGACGACCAGTGCCTCCTGCAACTAGGACTGACAACCTGGCGAGGGCAGGTGGCTCCTGCGACATGTGTGTTTGTCCACGAGCTCGTCGACCTGTACAAGAAATAGCCACCCAGACAGTTCAGCTGGAGATCAACAACACCACTTCGCAAGAGCAACCAAGCAAACAGCACCTCACGAAGCACATCGTCAAATCAAGTTGGCGGCTGCGTACACACCTCCCCGAAACCGACGAACCAAACAACACTTCACGAACGGGCTGACGAGCGGAAAGCAAGCAGAGGAAGACAGTGCTTACCAGGCTTAGCTTCAACGTCACCAGAGCCCACCAATGGCAGCCCCAGCACGATTGGCGCCCCCGTGCGTGTCGACGCGGCGACGACGTGCTCCAAACTCACAAGGAAACTTGACAGGTTCGAGATGTCGGCGTCGATGACCGGAGACGGCATGAATTCATCCCCATCCCGATGGCAGAAATCCTCCAAGTCCGCGACGGGCAATTTTAGTCTGTCCTTCTCCGGACAAAGAACGTCGACGTCCACAACATGGACAGGTTGGGTTTTCTCTGTCGCCACTGTGTCGCATTGTGTTGTGCGCAAGGTCCCATGGATGTCCAACAACACCTCTCCCCCCCTTAACTTCTTATCCTCGTGCGCAGTATCTTTATCGTCGTCACTGAAATAGAGAAATCTATCTTCAACAGCATCAGAGGACTTCTTCATAACGTCCTCTCCCATCGCCTCGTCGTGAAGGCCGGAGTACAAGGGGTCGTCGTATGCCGGTTGAACTGGTTGCTCCATCCCGACGTCACTCAGTGTCGGATCAATCCGGTCGTCAACGGAATCGTCCTTGTCCAAAGTCGTCAGAAGTCGACAACCGTCAAGTCCTTCGTCCGTGTGTCTCAGATGAATCCGAATTACGATCGTCTCCAAACCTGCATCAGGGAGGGACATGCTCACAAGGCCCTGATTCGGATTCATCCGAGCCACCGCAGTTTCCAACGGCGACGATGTGTCCGCTTTCACCGGAGAACCGCTTAAGACTGCTAACTCAGCGAGTACCGTCACCAGGCATTCGGCCCCGAGTGTGCGGGGCTCGACTTTGAAATTGGTCGCTAACTCACCCTCAGTCGGACAATCTGCCTGCAGCTCCTTGTGGACTTCCATGCACAGCATTACGACGTCCTGACACCGGTCGTCTCTCATGGCAGACACGTCCTCCTGGTTCGGACGAATCCGAATTTCGCCGCCAGGGTTTTCTGAAACCCGGACCACCCGTTCGAGTTCCGCAGACCGCTGTGCTCTCTCAACGGTACTGGCTTCCTGGTTCAGATTAATCCGAACTTCCTTTTGAGGCGAAACCGAACATGGTTGGAGCTTGTCGCTGCTAGATCCGTGGTATGTTGTCGTCTCGCTTCCCGGAAGGCACTGAGTTCCGAACGACGATGTCGTCTCCGAGGTTCGGATAGATCCGAGACAATCGACCAACCAATTTTGGAGCTGAGCGAAGCAAATTCCATTCTTTGCTACAACTGCCCCGCCAACAGCATCGGTATACTATGTTACGCTGGTGGAGCTAATCACAGGGTCCTGCTCGCCAGGCCGTGTAATCCACCCAGGCCTGAAGTCGTTCCCCGTCTCCATTGAGGTGTTGCCTGTCACCGCCAGAACCCCACCGTCCTCGTCGCGGTCGACATCGGACCCCTGCCCGTCTCCTCTGTGATGCTTTATCTTCTCTCCGCTGCGAGGCTTTTTCTTCTCCCAGCTGCCCTTTTTCCCCTCTCCGCCGCCTGCGTGCCCCGGAGACCGCTGTTTCGTTGAACGCTGTTCACTTCCACCTCCGGTACCTCGTTACCCGCCGCCTTCACCATCCCCTTAGCCGTCCTTTCCGCGAGACTTGCGCTTCACAACTCCTGCCGGCGGGGTGCCCGCAGGCAACTCCCAACTCACTTGCTTAATTGACGGGCTTGACGGAAGGGCGTAGAACGTGGAGGACACTTCCAACCATTTATTTGACTGCAATAAATCGAACAGCGTGTCCCTGTATTCGCGCAGAGCAGGGTCGTCCTTACTTCGTCGATTGACCTCACTTAATCTCTCCAAAACCGCATCGTAGGCGCGAGATTTGAATGTCTCGAGGTCCCAACGATCGTCATATATCCACCCTCCACTTACGTCCCTCACAACCACTGTCCATTCGCCGTCGAGAAGGACTGGCTGGAAATGGTCTGGGTGTCACACGATATCATGGCCCCAATCTTCGGCTCTGGAGAAGGTGTGTTTGTCGCTAATGTGGAAGGGAGTCGCAGGAGCCTTGAGATGCGGATGGTCCGGAGGAACTGGATGACCGGGTCAAAGACGTTCGGGCTGCGGTGTGAGACGAATAGGCTCCCCCGGCGAACTCCTCTAACGGGACAACCCACCCCTCTTGATAGGCGTTGAGGAGGACACGGGCGTGGGGCCGCCCGAGGTGGGTCCCCGGTTTGCATACGGACGACGACTCAAAAACTTGGGCGTTGAAGATGGCCAATTGCCCGTCCAAATCGAAGAGGTCGTCCTCAACGCTCTCCTCCTGCTCAGTCTCGATATTGAAGTCGTGCTCCTCACCAAATGCCAGCTTGTAGTTATCCAAAGTGCAGTCGGCCGGATCGACAACATCCTCGTTAAAAAATATATATTCCAGCCTCTTAATGAAGCTCACAGCGCCGGCCCGACTCGCTCCGTGGTAGCCCTGGAGGACCGCAATGGCGACTTCCTTCCGCACCACGTACTGCGGGTCAAATCTCAACCTTGGTTGTTTGCCGTAAAGGAAGGAGTCGACCTGGCGCTATTTCTTCGGAGTCAACTTGAAGAACATGTTCTTGTTTGGGTCATAAACGGGCTCGACCACGACATGGTGGAAATCACATGGGTAAGCCTTGGACGACACTTCATAGGTGACATACTGCACAGTGTATTCGAGCTGCGTTGTGTCCCCATCCACGGCCAAGACGTGCCTTCCCTGCTGAAGCAGACTCCACACCACCTGCGAGTGCGGCTTGCCGAAGAACAGCACGGCATCCGCCACACCACAGAAAAAAAAAAGTTGATTGCATAACTGATTCGGATTTCGCTCGCCGTCCTTGTACAGAGCCCCCCTCTGGGTGAGGTTTCCGATGTCCGCGAAAGTCAAGGACTTGAAAGACTAATCCTCCACATCCGTGGGTGTCACTTTCTGTTTCCTATGGAGAGCGGCGACGTCGTCTTCAGCAACAGCTCCCTCGTACACCAGGTGAGTCAGTAGCCAAGGATCCTCGCCTTTGAAAAGGATGTGCATCACATCCGGCTCCTCCCAGACGCTGTTTCCGAATTGATGGGTCTTATTCGCTGCCGTCTTCCGGACCCACTTACCCGTGTAGCATTGGGTAGCCCCAAGTGCAGACAAAGTTGTCATGAAGGAGAGGTTCCACAGGCAAGGAACGAATACCACCAATGTCCAGTAGTCATGAGAAACGAAGCCCAGCAACTCACTCAGAGACGCGAATGCCCCAAAGTCCCATTGTGCACGGTCCACAGTTCCGCACAAGTCGAGCACGCAAGTGTGGGAGCGTAGCTGATGCCCTAGTTTTCCCAGCGCCTCCTTATGATCTATGGCATTCAATGGGTCGACGTTAAACTGAGCCAGCGTTGTCAAGGTGCTTATCCTCGTCCACATAATGTTGATGCATTCATCAACGCCCCGAGGGTTTTTTTTGCCTTTGGCGCGAGTTCCAGTGATCACCGAAACGACGACACGCTTCCACTCCGCCGGGAAATGCTGGTCGTTGACGAGGGCCACCGTTCTCTTGATGTTGTTGTCGTGTTGACACCCGAGAAACTGAGGGCACTTGTTGACGTATGTGGTGTCCGTGAAAAATTTCCTGCTCTCGTTCCAAAGCTTGTCATCGAGACCTTTGTCCTTAAACTCTTCCAACAGTTGCTTCTTGGACCTGAAGAACGTGGAGTTGGCATTCCACTCCCGCTTATCCATTTCCTTGTACTTGAACTCCACGTAGTGCCACAGCCTCAGCATAATCCCGTCCATTTTTATTACGTCGACCATCTCCTTGACACTGAACTTCCCCTGCTCGGCCAACTTCTTGCTACTCGTTTGAACCCACACGACGTTAAGGTTCAAGACGCCGTTCAACAACCTTTTCTTCTTGCGGTCCGTCAAGTCCACCAATTCCTTCAAGCAGTGGACATTCGGCTCAGGAACTTGGACGTAGAAAGTTTTCTCCTCCGCGCCTTTCTTTGGCTTCCCCTTGCCCTTTTTCAACGACGGGTCATCCACCTTCACGTACCAGACATGTTTCTTCAGCCCCTGACTGTCAGTCACAGTGGAGAGTCCTGGATTGGCCACCTCCCCAAAGGTGGGCGGCTTTTTAGTCCAACGCCAGTCGTCGGAAGCAAGGAGTTTCCCTTTCGACCACTCCTCATAGAACTTCTCTCCCAAAGCGAAGACGGAGTCATCTGCCATGGCGAGCGGGAGGTAATCTCGAAGTTTCTCAGCCCATTCCTTTCTTTTTTTTTTCTTCCGTTGACAGGTTCCACAAAGGCGTGTACGGTGTCTTCTTCATAGCCAATGCCATAAACTGCACCCACTTTCGCACCTCGTCCTTTTTTTTCGACGCATTGCCGAGCACCACACGCGGTTTGCCCTTAATTTTCCAGATATTGCGAATGCCCCGCATAGACAAAACCTGCAAGCGCAGTGGATTCTTCTTGTCTTTCATGTTGTCTTCGCAGCTGACATGGGCGTAGCCGTCGAACTCGTCGTCATGGAAGTAGATCGGTCTGAACGACCATTTATAGAAGTTATAGTACTCAAACACGGGATGGTCTTTCACCTTCATCGCCGCCCTCTCGTTATGCTGTCCACACACAGGATAATACCAGTATTTCTCCGACTGTAAGCTGTCGAATTCAGCAAGCAGCACACGCACAGCAGGCTCGCCGTTCTCTGGAGGCGCGACGATCGGAGCGAGAACGAAAATGGGCTTCGTGTATCTCATGTCTTTACGTTCGTAGTAGTCGATCATAGCCGACGCGATGGTATCAACGAGGAACTCGTCCAATGATCGGTGGTTGTACGCGTCTTCCCAGTCTGGAATAGCTCATATTCTTTCGGGATGGATGTGCAACACGACGTCCTTCTGCACCCCTGTCTGCATCTCGAGGAAGAACGTATTGTCGAGGTTAAAGGCGTTGAGGTTAATCTCCACGTCGTCATCTCCCTCCCCGTTGTCGCCCTCATCTGCTTTCTTCCCCCTCGATGATTTCGACCCTTTCACGGAAGACTCCTCGGTTCTCTGATGTGTCGACGAGTCTTTTGGCGTTTCATCCCCACCTCCAACCCTTTTCCTCTTCTCAACGGAACCGCCCCTGCTCGGACACCTCCTCACCGGCGACGTTCCCACTTGCTTCTCGTTCCTGGCTCAACTCCGTCTGCAGTTGCGCAGGCGCAGGTCCGGCTCGGCGAGTCGTCTCATCTGACCCAGGCACCTCTCGAACCTGCGGACCACCCGCGCGATCTCCAGGCGAAACCTCGGCCACCTGCATGCCACGAACGAACGAACCGATCCTTTCGACCAGACCACGAGGAGTCGTCAATTCTGAGCCCTGTCACAATCGTTTCCCATCGCCGCCTCCACGTGGAGTCGACTCCCCAAGCAAACCTTGGCGGCGAGATCCATGCAAGCCTGGTTTCGAAGGAGGACGCTGATGGTCGTCCTCTGAGTCGTCTGACATGCCCACCTCTTGATCAGGAGGCGTAGCAGGCAGGCCACCCTGACCTCCCATCCCCCTTTCAGAGCACTCTCCTCCCGCAAACCCAACAGGACCACTGATCGATGTCCCAGGTCCGACGTCCACGACACTGTCAGAGGTACAAGATCTTGCCCAGACCTCGAGGAAGTCTGTCACGTGAACGGTCTCGTCGTGCCCCGGCGCTAGCGGGACAAAGTACGACAAAGACATCGCACGCAGGCCGTACCCGCCGAACATCCTCCCGGCAACCTTGCATCCCTTTGCGATGTCGTCGACGGAACCATCACTTCTGTAATGCTTCTTCAACGTAAACTTGAAATTGTATTTGCCAACATCGACCCACTGGACGATGGACCCTGCGAGACGCGTTCTGTCGGCGCGAACGGCGACGAACAAGAGCGGCCCGCACGGTGGTTGCAACGGGTCAGAGCCGTCCTGGCTCGCCCAGTCCAAATACCAGACACGTTTGCTGTAGTCGCATCACAAGTTTGAAGCCCGTCGTTCTTCATCCCCACCGCCACCTCCCCGACTCGTTTCCCTTGTCGGCGATGACGTCGTCCCTCGACGCTCCTCTCCATGCGGGGCGGAACCACCAGCGGAGCGGCTTCGTCCGTGTGTAGTCATTCCCTGAAACACATGGAGGAAATGAACCCACATGCACTCAATACAGTCAGCACGTCCCAACATCAACCACGACCCAGAGCACGTATTCTGTTATCGGTCACCCGGACCCCAAAACAACGAAGTTCAGTCATAGTTAGACGAGAGTGGTCCCCATGCCTGCACGTTTCGGATGAATCCGAGGCATCGTGAGCCATCCTCGTCACGATGCCCTTAAGAGAACGAATGGTCGAAAACGAAGACCGCGGGATAGATCAGATACATCCGAAGCAGGCGCAGTCGAAAAACCGATGTCGCATAGGCACCTGCACCGGGAAATGCAATACCTCGCAAGAAGGCACTAGAACGCTGAAACAACAGACCAAGACGTGCACGCCGTGGTGATACGGTGTCATCCAAAGTCGACAAGCGGATTGTAAAGCTCGCCGGTGTAGTTCGGATGCATCTGAGCTCCAAAGTGGTGTGGACGACCCCCTTGTGGCCCGGACCAAACCGAACTCGAGTTTTCTTGTCCTTCTGAGTCGGTAACGGTTGTGACTCGGATGCATCCGAATTCGAACAGCGAGGTCCAGAGACGGTCGTCCACAAGAGGTCGCCATCTACAGCACGTGTTTTCGCCATCGACCTGTGAGCACTGGGTTAGCCCTATCCTGCCGGATGTTTGGTTCGGTTGAACCTGAACTTCGCAAATGTGGCTCAGATTAATCAGAGACCGGGACCGGCGGATGGACCCGACGGTCTATTGATGCCCATCCAGCTGTCCAAGCTTCCATTATTCCCCAACATTCCTTGGGTCCAGTCGAATTTTGCACAGTGTGTCATCGTCCTTGAGTGTTTAAGACGGGTGTGACTCGGATTTATCCTGTTTCGACAAGGGCTGTCCCGATACGTGCGACCACGACAGGCTGCGCCGACACCGTGTGCTTTCGTCGTACAAGTTTATCAGACTGTGCGACGTCATCAATACCCTCTGTGCATGTGGTGAATCCGCACAAGCCATTGGTGTGGTTTAGATTAATCCGACTTTGCCGAGGCGCTTCGGTTTGTTGTCGCCCCACCACACACCGGACCTCCCCGCGATTGCCGTAGTGTGTCATTATAATCTGTGCGTCATCACGGGGGATGTCGTCGTCCTCGTGAGTTTTAGTTGGTTGTTGCTCGCCCAATCCAAACAACATACACGTTTGCTGTAGTCACAGCACAAGTTTCGAGCTCGTCTTTCTTCCACCCGAGCGTCACCATCTCGACTCGTTTTGGTTGCATGAATCCGAGGCATCGTTAACCCTCGTCATCAGACTGCCCTTCGTAGAGCGAATGGTCGAAGACGAAGACAGCGGGGGAGTTCGGACACATCCGAACTGGGCAGAGTCGAAAGACCGACGTTGTTACTCGGATGCATCCGAATTAGCACAATGCGAGACAGAAACAGCCGACCACAAGAGGAGGCCATCGGCATGGCATGTTTTTCTCAATGACCTGTGAGCATAGGGTGGACCCTATCCTGTCGGAGGTGTGGTTCGGATTAATCCGAGACAGGGACCGGTGGATGGACGGCACGGTCTGTTGACAGCGTGTGATTTCGTCCTTCACGTTTATCAGGACGTGCGACGTCGTAAATACCATCTGAGCATGTGACAAATCCAAATTTGCCGTCGGTGTGGTTCGGATTAATCCGAACATCGCCTATGTGCCTCGGTTAGTGGTCGCCCCGTGAGTTTTAGTGGGTTGTGGCTCGGATGCAACYGAAATTAACAAGGGTGGCTCGGATACGTTAGTTGTTGCGCCACCATAAGATGGTATGGACAGAGTGGGCTATCGTCCTCCTGGTTGGTCAGACATGTCGCCGTCGACAATACCCTATGAGCATCTGATCGCTCCGTGTCCTGTCCTGTGTCCACGTCAGCGGAAGGGTTCCTCGCGGCGTTCGGTTGACGCGAGGTTTAATAGGGTTTAAAGATTTGAATTCACGTTCGCGTCCTGTGTCGTCGGATCTATGGTAGCAGTCTTCGGATTACTGATCTGTGATTGCACTAAGGGGGGACCAACCTAAAATCGGTTGAGCGACTGTCTACGATACACAAAGATTGGAGAAAGGCAGAAAACACGCATAGACACGGAAGGGAGACTAAGATCGATAGAGCATGGGCAGCGAGAGAGCCTGTCTTTATCTCTTTGTCTCTCCATGTGCAGATCCTGTGGATGGTGCTCTCCATTTCGGAATTCGCAATGTGACCTACTAATAAAACTGCGCAAAAGAAATATAAGAAACAATTGTTCGTGTGTGCGAGAGGAAGAGTGACGAAAAATGTGAAAAAATCGACGAATGTGGAGGACAATCTACGGATACAGAACTAAACGCCGAGCGAACTGCACGACGCGACTTACGCGGGAAAACGAATAAACAAACCGAACAAATAAAAATTAATTCGGCGAGAAGAAAGTCCATGTGCAATCCAGAAGAGACATGATTCGTGAGAAACCATGTTTTCGTGTTCGACAACATACGACTAAAATCCTTATATCGCAGTTCGTGAGAGAGACAACAAATTGACGACAAGTGAGTAACACTTCAATAAAACATTTGAAGTGATAACACAATCTCGAAGGGCGTGTCACAACATTCTCGGGCTACATTCGCGGGTCCTGTTTTGTTGGTGACCACTCGCCCCGATCAGATGGCACACTCGCACGTCCACGTGTGAGCTCCTGAACATGCGTGGCCACGCTAATGGATGCGGGGCTCAATTTGACAACATTCCATTGTCGCATAGAGCCCCGCATCCATCAGCGTGGCCACACTTGTTCAGGACGTGACACGTGGACGTCTGAGTGTGCCATCTGATCGGAGCGAGTGATCGCCAATGAAACGCATGCATTCTTGCTCTCGAAACTCCTTCATCTCGCCCCGATTAGATGGCACACTCACACGTCCACATGTCGAGTCCTGAACATGCGTGGCCTCGCTGATGGGTGTGTTGCTCTATTGGACAACATTCTGCAGCCGCATAGAGCCTCGCATCCATCTGCGTGCACACGCTTGTACAGGAACTGACACGTGGACGTTTGAGTGTGCCATCTGATCGGGGCGAGTGGTCGCCAATGGAACGAGATCCGCAAACGCACCCCGAGGTAACTTCGAGAAAGAAACAGGCCAACGCATAAGACGGACGAAATAGAGGCGCTGAAGACAAACTAACGACGGGGACGAAGATGGTAGTTGAACACGACGGCACACACGTCCACGTGTCAAGTCCTGATCATGCGTGGCCACGCTGATGGGTGCGGGGCTCTATTCGACAACATTCTGTTGCTGCATAGAGCCCCGCATCCATCAGCGTGCCGACGCTAGTTCAGGACCTAACATGTGGACGTGTGAGTGTGCCATCTGATCGGGGCTAGTGGTCGCGAATGGAACGAGATCCCCAAACGCACCCCGAGGTAAGTTCGGGAAAGAAACAGGCCAACGCATAGGCCGAACGAAATAGAGGCACTGAAGAGAAACTAACGACGGGGACGAAGATGGTAGTTGAACACGACGGCACACATATCCACGTGTCAAGTCCTGATCATGTGTGGCCACTCTGATGGGTGCGGGGTTCTATTCGACAACATTCTGTTGCCGCATAGAGCCCCGCATCCATCAGCGTGCCCACGCTTGTTCAGGACCTGCCACGTGGACGTGTAAGTGTGCCATCCAATCGGGGCGAGTGGTCACCAATGGAACTAGATTCGCGAAAGCAGGCTGACGCAAAAGACGAACGACATAAAGGCACTGATAGAAAACTAACGACGGGGACGATGATGGTGGTGGAACACGACGCTATTGGTTATGTCTCGTTCGTTTGTCTGCGCTTGTCATTTACGTTCGCAAACTTTGTGCGAGCGACACAGACAAGCGCAGTAAAACGAACGAGATAAAAGACAGAAAGAGAGATAAATAGATGGCGAGAGAGAGAGAGCGCGACAGAGAGGCGATCTCCGCCTTCATCACATGGCCCAATCAAACGTCACGATCAAATGACCCCGAACGTCACCCCGATCACACATCGGATTCACGGAGAGAAATCCCTGTTAGATCACACAACACTGCTCGTTCGCGGCAACTGAACCCAATGTAATCGCCAGTGCGCGAATCCCAACTACAGATCACGTACATGTGTGGGCATTCTGACAGTCTACGCAAACCCAGCATGGCAGGACTTTTCAGGTCGGTGGAGATGGCGAGAGAAAGAGAGACAAAGAGAGAGAGGGAAAGAGAGGGAGGGAGAGAGAGAGAGAGGGAGAGAGACAGAGAGAGAGAGAGAGAGAGAGAGAGAGAGAGAGAGAGAGAGAGAGAGAGAGAGAGAGAGAGAGAGAGAG